GTTTGCTTCTTCTTTCCTATCAAACAACTATCGTCTTTATCTCTCCTCCTTCTTTTTTATGTTCGCTACTCTCTTGTAACACCTCTAATCTTAAACACTTACATGACCCTATTGTTTTGCAAGTGCCGTAAAACTCTAACTAAAAAAAAGGTGGTGGTGGTAGTGATGGTTGTGATGATGATGATGGTGGTGATGGTGGTGGTGATGGAAACGAAACACTTGTGTTGACATTTCACGCGCGGTGGAGGTTCCAGGACCCCCGCAGGGAACTTTGCCTTGAGTGACAGGTGGCCTGGTCTAGTTGGAGTGTGTGTATTTGTTGTGTTGTGTTGTGTTGTGTTCCTTTGTGTTGTGTGTGTACGTGTGTGTGAGTGTGTGTGTGTGTGTGTGTGTTCGTGAGTGTGTTGTGTGTGTATTGTTGTGTTGTGTTGTGTGTTTATGTGTTGTGTGTGAGGTCTGTGTGTGTCAGTGAGTGTTTGTGTGTGTGTGTGTGTGTGTGTGTGTGTGTGTGTGTGTGTGTGTGTGTGAGAGAGTTGTTGTGTGTGTGTGTCTGTGAGTGTTTGTGTGTGTGTGTGTGCGTTTATGAGAGAAAAAGGTAAATAATGAGCTTGAGAGAGTGAGAGACAGAGAGACAAAGATAGACAGAGATAGACAGACAGTGACAGAGAGAACGATCGAGAAAAACAGAGAGAGGGAGAGAGAGAGAGAGAGCGAGAGAGAGAGAGAGAGAGAGAGAGAGAGAGAGAAAGAGAGAGAGAGAGACAGAGATAGACAGAGAGATGGAGAGAACGAGTGAGAAAGAAAGACAGCGGACGAATAAAAAAATGTTGGAACAACTCTTACCCTGCTCACAATTATCGTAGCTAATCTCTCTCCCCATGTTTAGCCAAAGTGGCCACCCACCACCCACAGAAATGCCACTGCAGCCGACTCGTAAACTTGGAGTTTACTTCGATTCTATGAGTCAGACAAGCCAACCGGATGCCAGTTTGTCCTTTTCCATGACGGGTTTATCGACGGAATTGAGTTTATATCCTTGGAATTATGTCCTTATCGTTTTGCAATTAGCCGTGAACGAATTCAATAGCCATGCCGTGTAGTCAGAAAGAGACTCTTGAGTGAAAGCCCAGGAAGCATTTTCTAAGTGAGTTCTTCTTTTTTTTTTTCATTCCTTTAACTTGAGCAGACTTGAGAGTGTGGCCCAAAGAGAAAGAAATCCATGTTGTCATAATTATTCTAAAGGCTGGCTGTATCCTTCTTTCTGCGATTTATTCTTCATGCTTTGAATGTCGAATGACTCAAAGAGAGTGGAGGATTTCTTTTCACGTTATTTTAATCCTTTCTTTTTTCACTTCTCATAATTTTCATTTTCTTTCGCTCTCCACCACCGCTCCCCGCTCTCTCTCTCTCTCTCTCTCTCTCTCTCTCTCTCTCTCTCTCTCTCTCTCTCTCTCTCTCTCTCTCTCTCTCTCTCTCTCTAAAG